GCCTTCTCTGAGGTACGACGAGAAGAGAGCCGTAAGCGCATCATGATGGGACAACCCAACATTGCCACCCCTGAAGCCCCAAGTCTCACAGCAGTCAAAGAAACCCAGTCTGACCCTAGTGCTCTTGCTACTCGCAGCCACTCACGATACGCTGGTGACAATCGAACGAGGAAGGGCCGCCCATGGTGTGATCATTGTCGAAAGCCTGGGCATCTCAAGGACACCTGCTGGAAGATACATGGAAAACCGTCTGACTGGAAACCCAACCGAGACCGTGAAGCAAGAGGGAATGCAGCCTTTAGTGATGTCTCACCATCCAGCAATTCTGTCTTCAACAATTCTGTCCCTTTCTCCCGAGAACAGCTTGATGTGCTCCAACAACTCATACAGAGAGCAAATATCAACAACACACCTAAGAGCAAGAATAACACCAACATCTCAGCTATGCATGCCTCAACATCTCCTCATTCCGCTTAGGTAGTGGACTCGGGTGCTTCTGAGCACATGACAGGTGACAAAACATTTTTCTCAACATTTTCATTATGTACCAACCATCAAACAGTGTGTATAGCCAATGGTACACGCACCCCAGTGATCAGAATAGGAACCATCCATCTCTCAAACACTCTCGTCCTCAAATCAGTGTTATTTGTGCCTGATCTTGACTATAATCTTATCTCGGTTAACAGATTGAATCGTGATCTCACCTGTGAAACTAAATTTCTTGCTGATTCTTGTGTTTTTCAGGACTTGAGCACGGGAAAGGTGATTGGCAGTGTTGATTTCCATGCAGGCCTCTATATTCTGGATGTCAATCCTTCTTCAAGATGTTTTGCTGGTCATCAATGTCAGTTGAGTCATAGTCTTAAGTCTAGTAGTCATTCAAATAAGGAAAGTGAAATTATGATGTGGCACTTTCGTCTAGGTCATCCCAATTTTCTGTATTTGAAACATTTGTTTCCTTCTCTATTTATCAATAAAAAATTCCTTTCATTGTGAAGTATGTCAATAGGCAAAACACACTAGAAACACTTATGCACCTCGGCAATATCAACCCAGCCATCCCTTTACTCTCATTCATGGGGATATCTGGGGACCATTTCGTATCCCGAGTCTTACTGGTGCAAGATGGTTTTTACTATTGGTTGATGATCACACTAGATTGTGTTGGACATTCCTAATGAAAGAAAAATTAGAAACCACACACATATTTCAGAACTTCCATGTCATGGTACAAACCCAATTCAAAGCCAATATCCAAATCCTGAAAACAGATAATGCCAAAGATTTCTTCAACTCATGTCTCGGTTCTTATTTCACATCTCATGGTATTGTTCAACAAAACTCTTGTGTTGACACACCACAACAAAACGGTGTTGCCGAACGGAAAAACCGTCATATCCTTGAAGTGGCCCGATCTTTACTCTTCCAAGCCCGTGCCCGTAAAAGGTTTTGGGGTGAAGCAATCCTCACTACAACATATTTGATTAACCGTCTACCCTCTAGGATACTTAAATTTCGTACACCTTTGCAAACAATATAGAGTCTATTTCCTACCTCACGGCTTGTCTCAGAAATTCCGTTTAAACTCTTTGGTTGCACCGCCTTTATCCATATCCATTCTCAATTCCGGGGAAAGTTTGATGCCCGTGCACATAAATGCATCTTCCTTGGATATTCAGCCAACAAAAAGGGGTATAAGTGTTACTCTCCCATCACTCATAAATTTTACAATACTATGGATGTCACATTCTTCGAAAATATCCCGTACTACTCCAATACTGCAATTCAGGGGGAGAATACCACCGGTGAATTACAGCATTGGGAGTGGACATCATTTCTCGAGTCAAATTCATCAATTCCTCCAAATTTATCATCTCCGGTGTTCCCTGATTTGCCACCTATCCCGAGTCAAACTCAGAAGTCTTGTGATCAGCCTTCCTCACCTCATTCCGAGCATGGTCAACCTTCTCCCTATGTCTATCCCAAACATCTTCTTCCCGATGATGCGGTGAAAGTCTATGGAAGGAGGAAAAATCTTGAGGCCGCACTACCTCAGCACTGTCAAGAGACCTTCCCGAGCCAAGCGGAACTTGAGGGACAGCAAGATATAGCAGAATCTAGTCCGCAGGTTGATCCTACGATAAATCAGCCTATTGCACATAGAAAAGGTGTCAGATCATGCACTCAACATCCCCTTCGCAGCTACATCTCCTACTCAAGTTTATCTCCAAAGTTCCAAGCGTTTGTGACCTCCTTAGACAAAATCAGGATTCCAAATTCTGTCTATGAAGCCTTAAAGGTCTCCGAATGGCACAAGGCAATTCTAGAGGAATACACTGCGCTGGAAAAGAATGGCACATGGTTAATATCGGAGTTGCCACCAGGAAAGAAAACAGTGGGCTGCAAGTGGATATTCTCAGTCAAGTAAAAGGCAGATGGAACTACAGACAGGTACAAAGCTCGTCTAGTGGCTAAAGGATACACTCAATCATATGGGATTGATTATCAAGAGACTTTTGCTCCAGTAGCAAAGCTCAACACAGTCCGTGTCTTGTTATCCATTGCCGTCAACTTGAATTGGCCATTGTTTCAACTAGACATTAAGAATGCTTTCTTTAATGGAGATTTGATCGAGGAAGTCTATATGGATATACCATCCGGGTTTGAGACAAAGAACACAAAAGGAAAGGTTTGCAAACTGAGGAAAGCGTTGTATGGACTGAAACAATCACCGAGAGCATGGTTCGAGAGATTCACCAAGGTCCTCAAGAAAGACGGATACACTCAGACACAAGCAGACCACACCCTATTTGTGAAACACTTCACCGATGGAAGACTCACAGTTTTAATTGTATATGTTGATGATATTGTTCTCACAGGGAATCATGAAGGAGAGACCAGAAGACTCAAGTCTCTCTTGTCAAAGGAATTCGAGATTAAAGACTTGGGACATTTGAAGTATTTCTTGGGGATGGAGGTGGCACGGAGCAACAAAGGAATCTCAGTTTCTCAACGCAAGTATGTTCTAGACTTCTTGCAGGAAACCGGAATGAGTGGGTGCAAGCCGGTTGAGACACCTATGGACCCCAATACCAAGCTAATGCCTCGAACTGATGAATTGGCGGCTGACAAAGGGCAGTACCAGCGATTAGTGGGTAAGCTAATCTATCTGACTCACACTCGGCCAGATATAAACTTTTCAGTCAATCTTGTTAGTCAATTTCTGGGTAATCCCTCCATTGATCACATGGAAGCAGTGAACCGTATATTGAGGTATCTGAAGAAGGATCTTAGGAAGGGTCTTATGTTCAAGAAGACGGTCAACCAAACTCTAGAGGTCTATACAGATGCTGACTGGGCAGGATCTCCTAGTGACCGAAGATCTACGTCCGGATATTGTTCGTTCATTTGGGGAAATTTAGTGACTTGGCGTTGTAAAAAGCAAACAGTGGTTGCCCGAAGTAGTGCAGAAGCTGAGTTCCGGGCACTAGCTTTGGGTATCTGTGAAGGAATTTGGCTAAAAAGGGTGCTACACGACCTTAAGATGGAAGCAGCAGACTCTATCAGAATCTTATGTGACAACTAATCAGCAATTGCAATTGCCAAAAATCATGTTCATCACGATCAAACTAAACATGTAGAGATTGATAGACACTTTATCAGTGAGAAAATTGAAAACAAGCTAATCACTCTCAGCTACGTTCCATCGAGGCAACAAGCAGCGGACATCCTAACCAGGGCTCTATTCCGACCTAACCTCACCGAACTAAGCTCAGACCTTGGTTTAGAGAACATCTATCGCCTAGCTTGAGGGGGAGTGTAGAAAATCAATCTAGGCTAAACCGGATCCCTAACTTCTAGGGAAGTAGTTTCCTGATTTTATTCTCTAAGATATACCGGAATATTTGTATTTATTATGATAGATATTGTAGATCCTGATTTGTAGGGATTCTAGGTCTAATACCGTGTATATATATAAGTGTAACCCTTCATCGTAGATAATTAAGGAGTTATTTTTCTCATACTTCAGAAAACTTCAGTTCCTGCGCTTCAGCCCACTGGAACCAACCCAACGCACGCCCTTCGAAACAAACTGACGCCGCCAACACCTTCTCGTTCTCCTCCACACCGTTGATCGAGAAGTAACGTTCGGCTCGGAATAGCCAGCCGTATGGGTCCTCACCGGTGAATAGGGGCAGCTCCAGCCTCCTCCCACGGTGCTCAACTTGGCCTCGCCGAGCTGGAGATTCCTGACGGTCCTCGCGTTCCCGTTCCCTGTCTCTGTCCCTTGCTACTCGTCGTGGAGCTGGTTCTCGTTCTCCTCCAAAGTGACGCGCTAAGAGAGCTTCCATGCGCGTAGTCGCATCTTGCACCCGCTCCACTTGATTGGCCAGGATGGTCACGTCTTCTTGCAACCTTGGAACCAGATCTATCAGGGCTCCAAGAAGTCGCACCGCTTCTTGGAGCTCTCCCACACGTCACTCCACGTCCACCGCCCGATCTGGACGCAACTCAGCTGGAAGGTTGGCCATGGACCGATGCTCTGATACCAAATTGATAGGTACCTGCCCTGCCGTTAGCCAAAATAAGAGAATTCACACTAGGAAATTTGAATGAAATACCCAGAAAGATGGGTTCTGGTTCCTTTTATTAATATTCACTCCAACACTCCAGGATTACAGAGTAGAAAGACAGGAAGGAAAACAAAACAAACACCAAAAGGAAACGAAGGATAGAATTGAGAGAATTCGAGGTCTCTCCCCCTCCCAGAACAAGACAAGCTTCCATAGGATTCGATGCCCCCCCTTAGCGCACCACCCCTCCCCTATAATCCCTCTCTAACAGACTCCTCTAACGGCCTTGCCAACTAAGCAACGTCACTAGCCCTGCCCACGTCACTTGTCTTTCCCTTTTTACCCCTTCGAGTATAGGTAAATCTCACAGGAGGCCTGGGCAGGGTTCTATCATGTACACACGCCAATACAAGAAATAGGTACCTGTGAGTTTCCCAGCTTAGCCAAAGTTTGACTGAGAGATTCACCTCTTGATATATTAATATCCCAACCAAGAATCTGACAAATAGCTTGCCCATAAGCCCTATGAGCCAGTTTCTTGTTTGTATTTGATGTTGCAGCTAAATGTTGAACAAGTGCAACACAACCCCTAAAGCTCTTCCATACACTTTCCTCCATCCCACCACAAACTAGACAACAAAACTCCCCATCTTCATAATTGTTCATGTAATAGTCCCACAACTTTCCATCCTCCATAAATAACTTCTCAAAGAATTTAAACACTTCACAATCCTTGGACGCATTTCCATCCTCCTCATCACTCTCCTCAGAAGGATCTTCCTCATCACTGTCCTCAGAAGGGTCTTCTTCCTCATCTTCACTATTAGATTCATAACTTTCTTCCTCATCTTCATTGTTAGATTCATCACTGCCTGAACCAGAATGGCTTGCAAGAAATTCTCGGCAAGCTTTCACGGCCTTGTGCTGAAACTGCATTGCAGCAAACCTTGCCTGTTCTTCAGCCAAAACTAATCCTGCTGGAGAAGGCAAAGCTGACCTTTCCAATCCTGCTGATGGGGAATTGCTAATCAGTTTTTCAGACTGCCATTCAGAACAAGAGACTGGTGGTTAGCTAGATTCACACATACATTTTAGTAGAAATTTCAGAACTACACAAAAGCATCAAACCATTTTCCATACTCTTTTGCATGATGGAGGCAAAGAATTTCACTCATTAGAGATGCTGCATAAATGTTGAAAATTTGAAAAGAGCTTACATCATTATACCTAAATTCATGCAATTGTGGCCTGCACCGGTTAATTAAGTAAAGTGATGAAGTATATGTTCTCTTGTAAGTTGTAAAGTTCCAAATCTTCAAGCTTTCTCAACTTCTAAGTACAACTTCTAATTCTAAATACATACTTATTAGCAAACAACACCTACACAAATTTATTTACCTCACTCTTTTCCAAATTGCCGTTGATTACTCAATTTAGCCTTAAGATTGGTAGTCCTCTACAGAATTTGAATCTGACTTCCAAATTTATTCATCTTAAAAAAAAAAAGAAAACCGCATGATGAACACGTCATACATGATTTTTTTTTATTTTTTTATTTATTTTTTACCTCCATAGATTAACGAATTTATTTGAATCAATGACGCTAATTCAGTATTTAATTTTTTTTAGCAACTCCTACATGACAACTAAAGTTTTCCCTGCAAAATCAGAAACTAATTTATAGCTAATAATACAGATCAAAATCAAACACAACCTGCCCATCAATCATTTCCTTTTTATCGATGTTTTTGGCATCTTTACAAGAACCCTCACATTCAAACTTACCCTGCAATGATTCCACAACATGTAAATCCCAAATGCAAAAAAAAAAAAAAAACACGCGCACACACACACACACACAAAACAAAACAAAAACAAACTCAAAATTTTACCAGAGTTCGGCTGAGCGGTTCGCCTTTCGAGACGATGATCGGAAGCCGATCGAAATCCCAACCCAAAACCCTACAAACAACCTCCGCAAAAGCCTTGTGAGAGAAATTCCCCTCCGTCTTCGCCATCCTAGCCGAATGATGAACAAGCCCTAGGCAAGTCTTGAACATTTTTCCCAAATTCTTCTTCTTCTTCTTCTTCTTCTTCTTCTTCTTCTTCTTCTTCTTCTCCTGCCCTAATCCGCAGCAAACCAAGCAATAAAACTCGCCGCACTCGGAATTCTCCTCGTAATACCTCCTCAACTCGCCGCCCTCCATGAAAACCCTAAAAAAAAACCGGTACTTGGCATCCCCTCCGCCGTCTTCATCGGATTTCGGGAAGGATTCTCTGAAAGCGTTCGACGCTCTGTGTTGCAGCTTCAGAGCAGCATAGTGCGTCGCCATTTCTTGGGCCGTCGCCGGGCCGACGGAGGAGGACGCCGGAGTGGGGAATTGGGCAGGAGTCGGCCATGGGCCGGGCTCGGAGAGGCGGAGGTTGTTGTTGTCGTCGTCGTCGTTCGTTCTATTCTTTTTGTTGGGAGCATTGGAAATGTTGTCGTTTTGGATTCTGTTTCGCTTGTTGGTGGTGGTGGTCGTGGCGGTGGGAGGGCCTTGGCGCCAGAGAGAGTGGAGGTAGATCACTTCGTCTCTCAATCTCTGTTCGTACAAGTAGAGATCCATTTTCAAGTTTCAAGTTTCAAACTTTGGGAGGTTTTTGGGATTTTGCTCTCTTTCATTTGTTTGCGTTTAGGAGCAAATATGCATTGTGATCTTATTATCTCCCAAACTTTATATTTGTTCCCGCCGCCATTTAAAAATAAATCTCTAAGACCTATCACCAATTTCAATGCCAAGTAACACCAAAAAATATTTTTATTATAATCATTGTTTAAAAGGTAAAATTTTTTAAGTTTATTAATTTTGAATTATTTAAACTTGAATATTATCTGATTTTATAATTTTTGTAAGTTGTTGAAAACTTTTTAAGTTCTAAACTCAAATCGTGCAAATCGTTTATAAATTGTCAGGTTTGATAAAAAATTAAGGGGACGTTTGGAAGGGGGATTCAGTCTCTGATTCAAATCATAGTTCGTGGCTCGTTATAGTATTTTCTCTCATAAAAAATACACGTAAATTAAAAATAATTATAATCTCATGATTCTAATTCATGAACCAAACGTCTCCTAAATCAAATACCCAAACTGCTGAGGAAAAAATCATTTTTAATTTTGATGTTAGTTTCTAAAAAAACCGTCCGTACAAACCCCCCTACGTTTTGTTTCGATGCTTCTCTCTTCTCTCCCTAAAAAAGAAAACTCATTTATCTTTTTTCATTTAGTTTGTTTTCTGTATCTTTTATGATTTTTTTTTTCTTTTTAACTCTTTTACTTCTTTTGTTTTTTTTTTTTTTTTTTCATATATACCCTGTCTAATACTAAATATATGAAAGAGTCATATCAAAAAATGAATATATAAAAGAGTAAAAACTATGAGTTTCGGGTGCTTTACTTTTCTTTTAGTAGTTCCTATAAAAATAGGTTATTGGTAGTCTCTTACTTTACAGTCGTCAAATCTGTATTAAAATCTATTTATTCTGTATACCTTTTTAATTTGATGTGATTTTGACTAAATATAACGGTTAAAAATAAATATTACTAGTGGAGCGGACTACTACAGGAGAAACTCTTTTTTTTTTAAACTTTCAATCCTTTTTTATTTTATTCTCTCAAAATTTATGTATATTCTACCGTAGTCCAAAATGATAAGTTTTAGGCACTTCATTTTTTTTTTTATCAAGTTTCAACTCCTTTATTTATTTTATTTTGTTATCTTATAATGTTACATGTTTCACGTGTTTTCGCATTTAAATTTAACTGTTTAACTTAAATTACTACTAAAGTACTTTTTCTTTTTGTAATTAGATGTAGGGATTCCAATTCTACACATTGCAGTATAATTAATTGTGCAATTACTATTATGATAAACATTCTACTACTTAATGTGTGTGTATATATATATATATATATTAAATAAATAAAAAATTTTCTCCATTTTGTCCTGAATATGTTTGTTCGTATTTCACATTATTAAAATTTTAATTACAGCATCGCACGAATCTAAACTATTAATTATAAAAAAATTTAGCTCATAGTCTAGTTTCAACTTTTAAATCATTATAGCAAATAGTATATATTTACTATAATTATTAATAAATGATAATTTTATTTTTTAAAAATATTTCTATGGGTAAAATTTATTAATTGAATAATTTGTAAGTATTATGTAAAAATAAAAAAAATTGTAATATGAATAAAGATGTATATAATATATTAGGAGATTAAATTTTGTAAATTCTAGATTATCAAATTTGATTATAAGCCAGATTTATCAATCTGGTAGATTCGAATTTACTACTATTTATTAATATTTTTTTTCAAAACCTTTTGCCATTTATTTTTATTCTGCCCCAAAAAATAAATGTTATTTACCTAGTTTTTTCTTTTAAAATTTCTAAATTTTCAACTGCAAACTTTGAGTTTGTCTCATTTTAACCCACCCCACTCTGTTAAAATTATGGTAAAATAATTTTTAAAATAAATTTATGAATGGTCCTTAGATTATTTTCTCTCTCATCCTAACATCTACCACAATACGTAAAGTTTAAATCCCCTAACTTCTAAATTCAGGAAAACAAAATCATTTCTCTTCATATTTCTAAGATCTTGTGGTCAATTTATCTCATAAAGTCCTTCAATGGAGATGTCTTATGTTATGTATGGTTTCTTGTTAAATTTTTTGATGGAAAGTTGGAAACTGTTAGTTTATAGCCCATTTAATTCGCTGATTCGAGTTTTTAATTTGAGTTGAGATGTGACTTTATGTGAGAATTTTTTATTGTAATAAAAAAATTAAATGTGACTGTTTCTGAAAACTTTTTACTATAACAAAACTCGAATTCTAAACTCGAATCGGTGAAATGAACGGGACTGTAAGTTCAAGAATAACAATTATACTCTTGTTTTTACTGGTCTCTATTTTCTCTCTAAGATCAATCCCTTAATTTTTCTCCCCAAAACTAATTCCTATATTTCTTTTTTTGAATCATAAAAGAACTAAACTAATTTTTTTAGCATGTTTAGAACTTTGTCAATTACAAACCCGCAACCAAAATCAAAGAAGGGGCTGTGAAAATAACAAAAACATAATACAAAGGGGAAAAGGAGACAAATTGATAAGCCTCCCGTGCGTTTTACATACGCTCGGAGGAAACGCTTAACACAAATACAGCTCTTCACATAATAACATATTACAAATAGAAGGCATACATAAGATCCTACAGCTTCTTAACAATCAAACAAAATTGGTCGAGAAATTAAGCCTCCTGCTCGTTAAGACAGTTCTGCGAGTCGGACAATATGAGAAGGATTTTATGCCAATCCAATTCATCAAATGCGAAAGTATTCCTCAGGGACATGGAATTTTAGACCAACAGCCTGCAACCACAAAAAGAAGATAGTTTATACAAAAATGGTGAATAAACTTGCCTCACATTCACACGTCTCAAACTGCACCAGAAAACATAATAACAAACTTCCATAGACAAAAACAGAAAGAACCCAAAGACAAACCTCCCAAGCTCTACTCATATAGAAACAAGATCTCTACACCCACAAGTCTCAAGGAACTACACTGTCAAAAGTTGGAATATCCAATAAGCAAGGTAGCATATACATTGGAGTAACGGCTACCGGGCAAGGAACATTTATAACACATACCATAACTTGGGAACAGATTATGTACAAGGGTAAACAGATATCTCCTCATACATCTCTGTCAACAAAAACTCCATCTATCTACAAGTTCCCTCACCCCTAACATCCACCAACTCCTTTACCAATTGATGTAGGCACGGACGATTTGCTTCCATGTCTAACCTCAATAACAACTAACAAAGGATCTTCGCTGCAAAATCATTCTTATCATAAATTTGATAGGAAATGAGAAGATTTTAATAAAGGAAAAGGCCCACCAAAGGTACATGTAGTTTTTTAAAAGAAAAAAGAACTTACTTTCTTATTATTAATATGTGGAATTTAGAAGCTATTTATAGGCATAAAACTAACTTAGAAAATCTAACCTAATCATGAAATCCTAATTGGATTCCAAGTCATCTTTATCCGGACCTAAACAAATATTCTATCTGGATTTCTAAATTTAAAAACAGAATCAAGGAAGAGATAACTCCTAACTTTTAGAATGATAATCTCCTTAAGAGATAATTTCCTAACTTTAAAAAACCCTAAGTCTTCGACACTCCACTTCAAGTTGGTGCATAGATATCTGTTGAATTATGATCCCGGTTCCTTAGCCTTAGGAATACAGAGACTGTAATTTATTTGTATTTCATTCTCTATTTATGTGGTAGATTTAAGGTAATTAGAATCAGAGAAAGTTGACTTGAGATATTTTAGGTATGATTTCTTGATTAATTAGGAGATTTGTCAGCTGCCAGTGAGTAAGAGAACCGGTGGCCTTGTACCTACTGACCTCTATATATAGGTTGTACAGAATTAGTTTTCTAATTGAATAAAAAATTAAAAAGTTTTCCATCTCAATTTCTTTATGGTATCAGAGCGATAGTCTCTAGTCTGCCCTGTCCTTGAGTGTCATTCTTTCTCCAAGAGTCATGTCCAGTGAAAAAACACCCTCACCATCATCAGATGTGACCTCCACTCCGGAGATCATGTCTTCAACACCAACAAACAATCCTGAGTCAGCCGTTCTGCCCATTACCGGTCATAAACTTGGTGAGAAGAATTATGTTCAGTGGTCCAAATCAGTTATGATGTATATATGTGGAAAAGGTAAAGATGATTACCTCACAGGCACTATTATTGTTCCAAAACCCAATGATCCAAAATACAAGCAGTGGAAAACAGAGAACAGTATGGTCATGTCGTGGCTGATTAATTCAATGACCAATGAAATAGGGGAAGTGTTTATGTTCTACTAGACGGCCAAGGAAATCTAGGACACTGTGAAGGAGTCCTATTCAGACGAGGACAACATGTCAGAACTGTTCGAGATCAAAGGCATATTGACTGATCTGAAGCAAGGAGATCAGACGGTCACTCAATACTTCAACACACTGAACTGGTAGCAATTGGATTTGGTGGATGAAGTCATGTTCGAGTGTGCACAATGTAATCAGAAGTATCGAAAATATGTAGAGAAAGACAGGCTGTTCCAATTCCTCCTTGGTTTGGACAAAAGTCTTGATGAAGTTCGTAGAAGGATTCTGACCACCAAACCACTACCGTCGATACGAGAAGCATACTTGGAAGTTCGAAGAGAGGAGAGCCAGAAAAAGGTGATGCTAGGAAAAATTGCACAATCAACACTTAATGAAGGTTCAGCCCTTGCAGTCCATATGCCCAATCCAAACAATCAACCACGGCGTAGCGAAAGGCCCTGGTGCAATCACTGTCGGAAACCAGGACACACTCGTGAAACCTGCTGGCAGATTCATGGCAAGCCAACAGATTGGAAGCCGAGAAACTCCATAGAGAACCGAGGATTTGCAGCAAGCAGAGATGGGAAAGAGACTAAGAAAACATAGACAAATATGCCTTTCAGTAAAGAACAATTTGATCTTATTCAGAAGCTAATCAGTGACAGACCACCATCTTCTCAGCCCGAAGATACAAGGTCAAGCTTAATTGCCCAGAAAGGTATTCCTTCAAGAGCCTTAAATACTCAGACTGAAAAACTCATAAAATGGATTATTGATTCAGGGGCTTCAGATCACATGACTGGAAATAAAAGTCTCTTCCATAAAATCCAGTCGTGCCTTGGAAATTACACAATTCGTATTGCGGATGGCACAGTGTCAAAGGTGGCAGGAATTGGAACGGTTATTTTATCTGATAAATTGATCCTGGACTCTGTTTTATTTGTTCCTAAACTCACCTATAATCTGTTGTCTGTAAGCCAACTTACAAAAAGCCTAAAGTGTGTCACTAATTTTTATCCTACCCTATGTCAATTTCAGGACTTGGAATCGGGGAAGATGATTGGCAGTGCTGAACTATGTGAAGGACTCTATCTCATCAAGGCACCAAAAATTCCAAGAAGACAAGTTCAACTTGCAAGAAGTGTTCCCATTGTTAGATTAAATTCTGTGCTTTCAATTCTGCCAATAAAAATAGTGCAGTGATGTTGTGGCGCTATAGATTAGGACATCCTAATTTTGCGTATCTTCAAAAACTGTTTCCTGAGTTGTTCAATAAAATAAACATTAATTCCCTTCAATGTGAAGTTTTCCAGTTAGCAAAGCACGTTAGAACCAACTATCCTATTCAGGGATAGAAAAACTCTCAACCTTTTGCCATGATTCATAGTGATATATGGGATCTCTCAAGAATTAAAAATATTTCAGGGACAAAGTGGTTCATTTTATTTGTGGATGATCATATTCGTGTAACCTGGGTGTATCTCATGAAAGAAAAATCAGAGGCATGTTCAATCTTTAAAAACTTTCATCAAATGATCTAAACACAATTTTAGGCAAAGGTTAAAATTTTCCGTTATGACAATGCTCGTGATTTCTTTAATGATAATCTTGGGGAATATTTTGTCCATCAGGGAATTATCCATTAGAGTTCTTGTGTCGATACACCACAACAGAATGGAGTGGCAGAAAGGAAAAATAGGCATCTCCTTGAAGTGGCCAGATCACTTCTGTTCTCCATGAACGTTACAAAACACTTATGGGGAGATGCTATTCTGAGTGCCACCTATCTCATTAATCGTATGCCTTCCAGAGTCTTAAAATTTCAAACACCTTATCAGCTACTCCTTCACCAATTACCTTCTATTCGGCTTACCTCAGGTATACCCTTAAAAATCTTCGGTTGTACTGCCTTTGTGCATGTGCATTCACAGCATAAGGGTAAACTTGATCCTAGATCCATTAAATGTATATTCTTAGACTACTCTCCCACTCAGAAAGGGTATAAGTGTTATTCACTTGAAAGAAAGAGAATCTATCACTCGATGGATGTCACCTTCTTTGAGACTGGTAAGTCTCTAGCAACTATTTCACAAGAATTGAATCAAGAAGAAGAAAGAATGAATCTTTATTGAATTAACCACAAGAATTACAGATCTGGTTCTTTGAACCAGAGACTCTCTTCCTGCTTAGCGGAATGCCAAGACTTTCCCAAACAAACTCAATGATTGCCTGCTCTATCATTCCTCGAGTCCCACTATTTATTCCTGCCCCCAAACAACTCTAATCACAATCCCCTGTGCTCACACCCACAGTAACCACGTAAGTACATACTAATACACACATTAACCACGTAAGCACATACTCACCCACACAACAGCCACATAAGCCTATACACTTATGAACCTATACACTAACAATCTTCTAATCACTTTCCCGACCCTTCCTCACATAGACTTGTCTAAGTAGAGGCTTATCAATTACTCCGCCCCCTAAAAGAGTCACCTTGTCCTCAAGGTGAAATTCAGGAAATTGTTGCTGAATGATGTCGAAAAGCTCCCAAGACGACTCATAGTCCGGTAAATGACGCCATTGAAGCAAGACTTCCAGCTACCCTGTAACCTTAGAGAAACGAGTAGCTAGCAACCTCTCCGGCTCCACACGTAACTCCATGTCAGCAGCCAGAGCTGGCGGAACTTCCTGAGCCAGAATAGGCTGGCCAATGGCGAGCTTAAGCTGTGACACATGGAATACCGGATGAATCTTAGCCTTCGTAGGCAATTGCAACCTGTACGCCACTGCCCCAACCCGTGCCACGACCTTATAGGGACCATAAAACCGGGGAGAAAGCTTCTCATTCAGAAACTTAGCCAAGGAACGATGGCGATATGGTCGAAGTTTTAGGAACACCAAATCCCCCACATCGAACGAGACATCATGACGCTTAAGATCCACGTTCCTCTTCATTGAATGCTGCGCCTGAAGCAAGTGTCCCTGTAGCTCCTCTAAGATAGCATCCCGAGTTTGTAACTGCTCCTCTAACAAAGAGTTCGCAGTGGAACCCAACTCAAAACGCAGCAATTTTGGAGGGTCACGGCCATACAATGCCCTAAAAGGAGTCATTCCCGCGGACACATGGAAGCTTGTGTTATACCAAAATTCAGCCCACGCTAGATGAGAAAACCACTGAGTAGGTTTCCCAGAAACAAAGCAGCGTAAATAGGCTTCTAAGCACCGATTCACCACTTCCGTTTGCCCATCCGTTTGTGGATGGTAAGCGGTACTATGATGTAAAGCAGTGCCCTGCAACCGAAAGAGCTCCTTCCAAAATTGGCTTAGGAAAACCTTGTCGCGGTCGGACACAATAGTCCGTGGAAATCCATGAAGTCGCACCACCTCTTTAATAAACAGGACAGCCACCGATTTTGCAGAAAAAGGATGGCGAAGACCCAAAAAATGTGCATACTTACTCAACCGGTCAAC